GCCGGGCCCTGCGGGAGCAGTGGGCCCTGCTGCGGGCTGCCGAGGTGGGCAGCGCGGCGTGCGGGGAGGAGAGGCTGGTCTCTCCCTTCCCGTCTCAAAATGGCGCCCCTGATTTTCCCACTTCCCCTTATTCCTGTGCCTGGAAGGGAGCCGCGGGGGAGGGGAGGTGGTGGTGGTGGCGGCGGCGGGATTTAGGGGGGCTGGGCCCGGGGACTGCGGCGAGAAGGAGAGAGCTGGGGATCCTCCCCTGCGTGCGGGCTCTCCTGCAGTGAGTTATCACCGTCTGAGTCCAGCTACAAGGGCAGGGTCGTTCCCTTCGAGTTGCTTGTGAGCTACGGAGGGTGAAGTTGGGTGATGGGCCACTCGCTTTCCATTTCACTTGCCGCTAGAGGAGAGATGGTGAACAAGGTGGGCAGTAAAATACTCAGCGTGTCGCCATCCGGGGGATCACGACAGGCCTAGTATACTGGCTACACTCTACCTAAGACTTAATTGGAACTGGCCATAAAGCGAAAGTATGGTGGAAGAACAAACCTATCCCTTCATATGTTTTACAGAAGAGCTGAATTGTCTAAGAACTACCAAAATCTTCCAAACAATAGGGCCATGAAAGGCTGTTCACTCAGCATTTTGATTCTTTTTTTTTTTTTTTTCTACCTTGTACCGCTTTTAGAGCTTGGGGATGGAAAAGAGAGGTTGAACAGCTAATTAAGCATCTGAAATTAATTGGTGGCTTCCATGTAACATTCAGACCAAGTGAAAAGCGTGGCATTTTTGTTTTTTCCAATTTGGTAGTGACTTTAAGAGTTGGAGGCAGGCTAGATTGCATGTGTGTATTGTTATTCTGTGATAAGAAATGTCAGGCAAAAAGTAGACGTTGGCTGAAGTGAGATGACTAGAGACAAAGATAGTGCAGTCATCATTACTTATATTTCCTGTATGATAAATAAGTTTATCTGAAGGCAATTGGTAACTATACATCATTCATGTGAGTTTATGAGGTGGCTATTATCTTTAATTGGAAGGCTGTGATTTTTTTGCACTGACTGTGTTGAATCACTTGTTTAACTTACTGTCTCATTATGTTTCAATATAAAGTGGCTTACATGTGACAGGCACTTTGACAGTTCTGAGTATTCCTGTCTTGAACACTGAAGTAAGATGCCACATGAATTCTGCCAAAACTGGAAGAAAGTAACAAAAAACTTGGTTGGTAGGAGTGCCTGATAAATAAAGCTTTTTAGATACTGCTCTTTAAAGCATTCGGGGTAGTCCACTATAAACAGATTTAAAGTAGGTAATGGTTGCAACCTCAGCATTGTATGAACTGTCTCTGTTCATGAAGTGTGAAAAAGTTTATTAGAAATTACTATAACAGTAAGTGTGCTCATGATAAGAAACACTGTCATTTGCTCTGAAATATAAAAGTGGTAGAATGTTCCTGTTTTAAATTTACCATGGAGTTTTGTTTTCATCTTTGTATTTGATAACGCATTTAATCATATTCATTGTAGGAACAGTGTTAGCTGTTTTAATCTCTTCGGTAGGCTGGCTTTTGTTACTACTGTTGATACTTTTGTTTTAGTTTTCTTGTAGTTTAAAATAGGCACTGGTCTGAACGCTTACATGACTGAATTATGCCATTAGTTTGTAGGTGTTGGCTTAGGACTGTTGGTGTTTTCTCCATAGACTCAAACATAATAAAATTCTGTGGTGATCTATTAAAATACTTATGACTCTTTCATAAATGCAACTCATTAATACAAAGACTATCTAAAAACATATAAATTTCTCTTCTAGAGTAATGAAAATACCCACTATCTGGTCAATTACTTGGTAGGATTAACTGAAGTACTTCCCTAATAATATGCTCCAAACTTTGTTGTTCTGGCATTTCAGCATGAAGCTGCTGTGCCTTTGGGGGATATTCATGAGAAGAGTGAAGTTCCTACTTACCAGAAGGAGCTATGTATTTGTAGTGCCCAAGACTGCAAAATAGGCCTTACTTTTTAATATATGATGGAGTTCTCACATTAACTTCCATATAAGTAAGAAAATCTCCCTCGTTCTATCCATATGGAGCCATCCATCTAAGAAACTTCTATAGTAATTTCCTTGTCAGATTTTTATATGAGTAATTTCCTTACATAACTTCCATACGTATCAGTTGGAAGTTACACTTATGTACTTGATTTTGTATAGATGAATTAAAATGCCTTCTCAAGGTTTTCTTTCTTCATATGTTCCAAACATATTGATTACAAAGTTTGTTTAGCATACAAAAATGGCAGGGAGAGACACTAGAGGGTCTCTTCCTGGAAATTTTCACTAAAGTCAAGGGTAAAAAGTAGGTATGGCTGCTAAGCACTTGAAGTAAGCGTTGAGAATTGTCTTGAAAGTGATGTGTCAAAAAAGGCTTGAATTTGCAGTGTGTGTGTGTGTGTGTGTTTAGGGTACTGAATGTAGTTTTCCTCTCTTCTGTGGGGCTTTTTTTATGGTTCTTCAGGCCAGTATTTTACAGGTGACTTAAGGAACTGGAGAATGAATGTGACCTGAGGGTTGGAGCGTGTAAGGGTTCTGTAGCACTGAAATCTACTTTTAAATCCTTGTGAGGCACTATGTTTGACACAAATGTTGAAAGAATAGGCCGAAAACATTCCATAATGTCTATGTCAAACTGTAATACTGCTTCTCTTCAGATTAAGAAAAACTATTCCTCATTTTTCATGTTTGTATGGTGCTGTGCTGTGAGTTTACTGAACAGTTCAATATCATCTGAAACTTCAAAAGATGTTGATTTCAGTATACACTTATAGAAATTGCTAGTAAATTTTAATACATCAAATCATCTGGATGTGCTCTATCAGGTTTTCAGTCTTGCTTTTTTTTTTTTTATCCTGAGCTGTTAAAAAGTGGGTGTAGTAGTTTTATTATTAAGTTATTAGATATATTGACGTGACTCTTGCATGAATGATGTTTGCAGTATGTTTCTTGGACTTGATGGTCTACCTCTCATGTAGTGTGATCTCCACCAGCTTGACAGTTGGTTATTTTTGTATATGGTATCTAAGTTTCTAGAATGATTTCTGAGGAGGGGTGTTACAAGGTTGTTACAATTTCTCTGATAACTACAGCTCCTGTAGCTTGGGCATCTACAAAAATTGAATTAGGTGCTTTTCTTGAAAAACTTTCAGCTTTGGGTTCTGAAGGAGTTTTGCAAGGGGTAATAATTACTGTTTTGTAAATGATACAAATCTGAATAACTAAAAGCTGTAAATGATCATTTGAAACAAACAGATATTATGCAAGCTTTATCAGTCTTGTCTGGTTTTCTGTCATACACCTTTCTGCTCTCCGTATGGGAAACAGCAAGCAAAATAGTAGTCATCGCGACTAATCAGTGTATTGGGTTGGTCTTCTTGCTGTGTGTCATGCAGAAGTCCCTTCCTCCAAAGAGTATGAACTTCTATGGTCATTGGATGTAGCTCTTATGTTTTTAATAATGCTGCAGAGTCTAGAAAAATTTGGAATGAATTAAGATTAAAGGACTTCAAATTATTTCATGTTTATCCAAACACACTAGAATGCTACAGCAAACAGATGTATTTAGTTTTAAACCAGAAATAACTTAATACTTTTCCAAGGGAAAGATAAACAAATGGCTAAGAGTATTCTGAGCTACCTATATTTTGGCTATGCCTTGCTGCTATCTCTCATAGTATAATTAGAGAGAGATTAACTGTTGTCACTGATCCATTTTTATCCAAATTGCTCCACTACTTCTGAAGAGTTTCAGCAGCACGTGTAGGATCTTGCCTGAAAGCTAACACAACAGCTGTGCATTAATTGTTTTATGGTGTAAGGATGAGAGGTCTGGTATTTTTAAAATAACTGGATTCATTCCTGTATTCTGAATTATTCAACCATAATTAAATTAATGAGTAAGAATTTTAGTTTGTAATTATCATGGTACTCTAATAATAATGACAGTGGGATATGCAGGGGCTTTTTTGCTTCACAGAAACATTCTTTCACATATTTGTAAAAACATGTATCTAAAATTTGATATAGATCATATTGTGCAACTGAAATTAGGAAAAAAAAATCTGTTAATTTAAGGATATCATAATAGTCAAACAGGACACAAATTTGGGATAAGACAGGCATGAATACAGGCTTGGAATATCCTACCTGGAAGAAGCTAAATTATTTTGAGAGGTAAAGGAAAAGGAGCAACATGAGCACATAGGAGTTTAAGATGTTGAAAATATTTTTTTAAGACCTGTATGCAAGCTCTGTTTACAGTGAAATAAAATACCACCTTTTCAGCTGTTAAGTTAGTGAATAAATAATGCTAAGATTTCTTTCTCGTTGCATGGAAATTAATTTATAAGGGAGTATGTTAGTGGAGGATGGGGTTCTGCTAGAGTACTAGAAGCACTTTCCAGAAAAGAAGATTCTTCAGGACTTGTGTTGACTTTACAAAAGGGAGAGTTAGGAAGAAGGAAGACTTAGTGTCTGAGCTAGGTGTGTAGCAAACTGGAATGCTCAAGTACCTGATACATGTGCTAAGTAGTTTGAAATGGGAAGATGGCTTAAGACTACTGCTTGGTTTAAAATGTAGCTGCTTTACCATAAGGAAGAAAGAGCAAGAAGTCATTTGAAAGTAGTAGGTGTGCTTACCTTTTTGCAACATACATATTAAAGCTATTTTGTGCTTTAGGAAAATACGCTCTAAACTAACTTGCTTGCATTCTAGATGCTAGGAAAGCTGTATCCTCACAAAGTATGTACAATTCAAGTAAATAATCAACTGGAGTAGGACAAAGTTATAGGCTGGGTTTTGGTTGGTTGGGGTTTTTAGCAGAAAGACAGAAGCAGATGTTTTTCTCACTGAGAGCTGAGTAACCATCACTT